TCATTTAAAGCGGGGAGGGATACTTGAGTTGTTCAAAGTTACTCATTTGGTCACAGTGGCTCAAATTTGCTATGGACGGACCATCATTAAAATTAACAATCACTTTGAATCATATTCCAAACCAAAAAAAAAGTCAAATTTAATTTGATTTGCTTATATTATCTTAGCGGTCTCAGCTTTACTCTTTTACTTTTGGTTATTCAAACCATGGTTATATCTCCTTTTTCCAAACTTAAAACTTATTGTTTGCAGCCAGAGATGATCCTGAAGTTAATTGTGAAAAGAATGTAGTGCTCACCAAGCAAGCTAATGGACATGACTGCCTTCATCTGTTCATGTACTCAGACATACTCCAGGAAGGTGTTTTCATCCGTTCATGTACCAGACATGCTACAGGAAAGTGTTTCTGCATTGTTTCTTGGAATTTTGTGATGACGGAATCCAAATAAAATCTTGTGCAAGCTCCTTGCATAGCCCATGAATTTTATCCAAGAACTTTCATATTCTTAGCTTCTATCATAGTGCTACACACTGGAGTGCCGTTAAACTCCAGGGGACTTTGTATTTTGCTGTGATAGAGGAACTGTTGGATTACTAAAGATCTCTCTTTGCCCCGCCCCCTTTACTGAAAACCAACAAAAACCTATATAATTTAGCTGCATTAAGGAGAGTCTCTCAGAAATGTCTGTTGGTAGATTCAGCCTCCTCAGTTTTCACTGGACTAGATAGAATGCCAAGGCCTCAATGCTGCACACTGATGAATGTGCTTGTACCAATTATGTCATCCTGTGGCCAGGACTTAAGTGCAGGAAGTGTATCTCTAAATGAAGTTAAACCAGGGCTGCCCTTCCTTCCTCTGTTGTATTGAAATTTGTCAGTCATTTAAATTCAGAATTTAGTTTTTACATAATGCAGGCAAGCTATATCCCAGAAATATAATCATATAAAGATGGGTAGCTAACAACCCCTTGGCTCCTATGCTTGTTCCTAAGGAATATTACTTGCCTAACCATTTCAGCATTTCCCATGATATAGTTTTAATTTGAGCAACACATTGAGCATCTGTTATGTGGCTCTCTACCAAGTATTGGTAATACAGCCACAGAAAAAGCTAGTCATGGACCCTGACCACTGAATTTGAAAGCATGTGGAAGAAGGCTAAATATTTTTAATTAGCAAGTATCAAATTATTCAATATCTCAATATAGCAACAAGTCATCAAAGGCCTATAAGATAGGAGTACAGAGAGCTTAAACAGGCAAACCTACTTTTTCAAAAGCACTCTTAGATGTGGCTTATCTCTCAGATAATTAAGTCGCCTGTATACCATGACTTCTTTCTATCCCTGACATCAAGGAAAGATCTTCTGCCAGCTACCTTTTACACATGCATTGCCTTGGCAATGTGCCTGGGCCATTACCATAGCAACACTCAGAATGACCTCAGCAGCCACGCAGAATCAGTCTTACAAAACAAATTATGTCTATAATTAACTCTCTGAATTTACTCAGTAATATAAATTTGTTCAGGCCCTGGTGTTTCTTTTTAAAAGGTTAAATGAATGGAATAATACAACAGAAACCCACTCGCCTCCCATTTTCTGTTTTGCTGAGAATATGAAGTATATCAATGGAAAATTTAGAGATTAGAGATTACTTTCGTCCATCATCTCAAAATGTGGCAGGCATAAACTGGGAGAATACACTTACTATACAAGAACCTCAATTCTGGGGCTGCAAAGTAACTTTTTCCTCCCCCTCTCCCCAAGCCAAGATGAAGTGCAAAAATGCTGCTGGTTATCCATCTGAGGCCTGCTGGCCTAGCCATGGTGGGACAGGTAAGCTGGGACATGCAGGCACAAGCTGCCCATGGTGGCCTTTTCTGGGCAGCGAGAGATGGCAGTTCTCAGTTGTCTTTTCTGCATCACAAATTGTGTCTTCAGTATTATACCTTCTGAGCCATTCAGTAGAAAATTAATTATATAGACAGACTGGGCATCTTTTGTTTGGTTGCTGAGTTTGTTTTGTTTTTGTGCTGCTTTTGTTTGGAGGAAGGTGTTGGGGATGGTTTACTTTGGATGAAGGTGTTATATGCTGCAGCTAGTAGAGGCAGATACTATTCAGCCTTTTTCTTTTGCTAAACTACAGTAGTTCAGCTTTCTACCCCAAATGAAGTGAGCCTTTCCCTTCACCATCCAACAGAAGCAAAACCAGACTATCCAGTAAGATTATCCTTACTTTGAACTTAATCAGAAATATATGGAACATTTTTAATCTATTTATTTTATGTGTATGAGTGTTTTGTCTGCATGTATGTCTGTGCACCAGGTACATGCCTAGTACTGACAAAAGCAAGAAAAGAGCGTCAAGGTCCTCTTGAACTGGAGTTAGAGATAGTTGTGAGCTGCTATGTGGGTGCTGAGAATTGGACCCAGTCCTCTGCTTAATCAATGAGTCATATCTGTAGTCTGTATGGAACATTTTAAAAGGTTGTTTCCCTGTCATGATGGTGGCAATATTGAGCTAGAACAAAACTTGGCAAGCAGCAAATGTTCAGTATAAGTAGTTGTTACTCTACATGAGTTGTACAAAGGATGAAGAGGAGAGAGAGTGGTAGCCTATATACACAGAACTATGCCCTGACTTCATGTTACATACGTAGTTTTAGGGAGTTCAGTGCACTTTTCCTGATTGGAGAGATGCTGTCATCACAGTTGAATAGATAAATTCCTATTTTGTGTACTGATATCATCCCTGGCAAACATACATCTGTGCTTGAAAATGGTTCTAGCAGCATTGGTTCATCTTTAAGAAACAAAACCACAATTTCCCTTCATTTCTAGTCTGCCACAGCACCATGTACACAGAATTAACAGCCCTCTTTTGTGGTGTGTGTGTGTGTGTGTGTGTGTGTGTGCATGCGTGTGGTCATAACTAGAGTAGAAGCATATTTCTTAGTTTCATTTTCATCTTGCCACTGTAAATGTAGACTTTTTTTGATTTCTCTGAAATTTCTGAGTTCTTGTATATAAATGATGGTCATATACATTTTAGAATATATGCTTAAATTTTTCAAATAAAGGATCTGATAAATTAGAAAATTGTATTTGTCCAAAGTAGCTTATTGATTTTTATATCTGATATGGGCCACTTTATCTGTAGATGAGACATAGTTAATTCCCAGAATGTTAATCCATCAGGTAGCTCCAGGACTGTGCCAAGATTGACTAAAATGTAGCTTTACATTTGTATTCTCCCAGCACTCTGAGCCATTTTTATAATAATTGAAGGTAAGAAGAGAGCTCGTCCTAGTCAGCAGAGAGCTAATTGCTGGCTGCAGAAGTCTTGATGTATCTGGACTAAGGCCCTGGAGTATGAACTATCTGCTCTGCTGTGGGAATCCTAGGCTGCTCTTGCCTTGAAAGACTGATAAGCTTCCAGTGAGGCAGTGATTTTACTTCTTCATCAATGTTGAACTTACTGCTATGAGCTCATGAGTCACACAGGCATGACACACTCTTTCCTTGTAACATTCCGTTTCACATTTGAGTCTCACTTATCAAGAAACTCAATGCCCAAACTGAGTCTCTGTTAGGAATCAGACAGCTGAGGAGTTTTGTAATTACTGAGTTGTAACTACCATGAACACCAAATATTCAAACTCTTTGTATCTTGTTTGTAGTCATTACCAGCTAAAGATTTGATTCCTTCCAGTTCTGTTAATGGCTCCACCCTTTTTCTGCTTCTTCCTACAGGTTAGTCTCTTTGTGCATACACTTTGTACCCATGCACTTTGAAGCCATCCTTGTGTTTCCTCATTTCCAGGGCCTAGGAGAGTGTAGTTTCTCTTTGAAATGATGCATCATAGCAGTGCTTCTCAGAGCAATCGTCTCTACCTGGCTGTCATCAGTTCTGTCAAACTGTACCATTCGTGACATAACAACTTATGTCCTACACTTCGAGATCATGGAAAGTGAATGGAACAGGTTTTGGAAATGACAGAATCATACTGATGGTGAACTGTAATTGCCAGGGGATAGGATTGGCAGTAATAACACGTCAGTGTCAGTCTTTGTGCCAAGTAGAAAGTTCTGTGCCCTGATTATGGTGGTAATTACACAGATATCTATATGTGGCAAAACCTCATAGACTGTGTACCACAAACTCACACACACTCATATGTGTGATATTTATATGAATACACTTAACTAAGGTCTGTGGTTTTATGGATAATGAGTATTCTGATTTTGGTTTTGTTAATATAATATAGACACATAAGATGCTATCATTAAGGGGGAGCCAATTGAAGGATTTATACAAGAAATTTTCTGTGATAAATTCAAGTTTCTTGTAAGTCTAAAATAATATCAACAAAAAATATGATCTTTGATTCTCCACACCCTATGGAAATGTGTAAGTATCATGACCAGATACATTAAAAGTTAGGGTAGGTGGCTCTAAAGAAGAGCATCTGACTTTAGACATTATTGTTATTATAACTTAAAATCTCATAGCTTTTCATGAATAACAAATGACTTGGGCTTTGGACATAATTAAAGACTTGGTATGATGCTGTCTGTCTTCTCTCAGGGGAATGAGGAAACTTCATTCCAGGAAAAGACTGATGCTCTGCAAACAAGAGAGAAGATAAATCCTGACCTTACACTCAGCTTTATTATATGGTTGTTTATTCAAATTTGCTTTGTATAAATAGTTTAAAACTTTAACTCTCGATTCACCAGGAAAGCCTGCTAAACAAATAGATGTTAAGAGACTCATTGCAGTTTCTTATCAGCTCTTCCTTATTTTGCATGAGTTCAGCTGCTGAGGAAATGGTAATGTGGTAAGTAGCGACTGGGTGGAGAGCCTTCCTCTGAGCAGTGGAAGTTTGGCCTTGCCTGTTTCCTAGCCTTAGGAATTTTTTTTTTCTGTGACTCATTTTTGCCCTTTCCATGGGATTGGAGTGATAGTAACTGACATTCTCATGTCTTCCTCTTCTAGCTATTTGAATGACTTGGACCGTGTAGCCGACCCTTCCTATCTGCCTACACAACAAGATGTGCTTAGAGTTCGAGTCCCCACCACAGGGATCATCGAATACCCCTTTGACTTACAAAGTGTCATTTTCAGGTAGTAACTGAGTTCATTAACACCCACATATGGCCTTTAAACCCAGCAACTTTGTATGGATTAGCATCCTTGGGTACACAACTGAAATAATGTATGGATGAAAGAGGAAGGGGGGGGTTGGCGGGGGAAGATATTCTGGAACTTTCATTTCCATTTAAATCCACAGTTAGTTGCTGGTAGTAGAACACATTTACTCAAACTATATATTAGACAGGAACCACCATGCATGCCTGCCATTGAAAACTTCCATATCGATATTTTCTCCATGTTGTCTGGTACCAATGCAGAATTTTTATACAACAAAATGCTTAAGAGTTTCCAAAGTTCTTGGTTTAAAAGTAGGGTAATTAACTTAATATAAATTGATATGGCAGAATAGAATGGAAATGTATTATTCCCCTGTTCATTGCTGCTGTTTGTATTGATACTTCAACTGAAACACTTTTTAAGAGTAAAACAACAGTACATTTTCACTTTGCTATTTCAGAGTCACTTAATTATACTTTTAGTTAGAGTACAAACCACTTGGAGCTTTGAGGAAAGGAACCACGAATGTATGTCTCTGACTTAAATATTGAATTGCCTCTCAAGAGCCAACTCTGAGTGTAGGCCTGTGCAAGAGGCTCTGAGGCACCTTTTGTGTGGCTCCCCTCTCTCATGCCTCTGCCATGGGGCTCAGTTTGACATGGTGCTATGCTGTTTCTTGCCAAAGCACCTTTTTTCTTTTTTTTAACGCTATTCTTTGTACCTGTGCTGTAATCTCACTACCACATACTGCTCAAAAACACATATCTATGAAGTAGGTAGCACTTTAGAAATACTCGTGAACCTCTGTTTTAAAATCTGTAATGGGTATATTAAGATGACCACCAAGGTTCCTGAGGCCAGCATTCTGTATTATATATTTTGAGTTTATAATATCTGGATGTCCAGATTTACTTACTTTTACAACTATATTACAAAAAATTTTCATCTTTTACAACCATATTACAGAAATTTTTCAAAAACTAATACAGTTCTTACAGATTCTCACATCTTGGTTGATTTACTCTTGACATATTTTATGGTTGTTCAACACACTAGTGTTGAAGGATACTTTTTGCCACTACAATGAAAGTAATGACTTCATTGTCTAGTTTTTTTGGTCATCCTCAGATACATAGCACTGGGTCCCTGAAGCACACTTCCTTGAATAGGACTTCCTTGTAAATGAGTAGCCCATTTCCACTCAGTGGTGCTGGGGCTGATCCAGCTTCTTCATATCTGTAACACCTAAAAGCTCCATCCACCTTTGATGCCCAGCACTCGCAGATCTTGTGGACCCACTGGTTTCCCCTTGGATCTCACTACTGTATCTTTGCAGCCTTTTAGAAATAGTGGTGAGAATGATCCTTGATTTCTGGTCTGGAGACATGGCTTAGTCAAAAAAGTGCTTACCTTGTAGAACCCATGATCCACATAAAAATCCAGGTGTGGTGGCCTGTCCCCATCACCCAAGGTCTGGAGAGTAGAAGGTGCAAAGACAGAAAGGTCCCTGGAGCTCTTTGGGTATCTAGGGTAGCCAGTTGATGAACTCTAGGTTCAATGAGAGACCCTATCTCAAAACAAAGTAGAGGACAAGAGGAAGACTCCTAATGGTCATCCTCTGTCCTCCACACAATTGTGCTGCACACACCCATATGTGTGCACACACACACCCACGAATGCACACACAGAAACATGCAAAACGGAAAGGCAGAAGCTCTTTGAGCTCTTCCTGTAGACTTAATGTGGAGACTCAGGAAAACACCAAGAGCAGGCATGCTGTTCAGTGGGTCCGTAAAGAGCACTGCTCTTTCACTTGTATACTAACTTTCTCATTTTCTGGGACTTCTTTCCTCTGAATGTTGGATACATTTGTGAAGATTTGGGTTCAGCAAGTTGGAGAAGCTGATTTGGTGTCAGGCACTGCTAGATATGTGTGCACACATCTCCACTTTACTCTTGGTGTCAGTGCTGGTGTCTGAGGATAACCAAATACAGTGGCGATGCATTAGAAGCAGACCAGGGAAATGGTTGGATGTCAGACACCACACTTAATTTCCATCAAGGTGACAAGTTGGTATTGGGCACAAGGCTGATTGTTTCATTGCTGCCTGATACTGTTGGAGATGTCAAATTATTGCCAATATTGTAAATAGAAAAAGCCCCAAATTCTTATCCTATAGGCAGAAGCATAAGCGGGTTCACATTTACATTTAGTACTCTCCTTGTGTTGAAATGTATGGCATCTCGAATCCTTTAAATGTATCCATGATCACACCTGGCTGCCTTCAGTAGCATGTGAGAGTCTTCACTCTTACATCTAGAAAAGAAAGGGAAGTTTATTATTTGATATTTGGACTTAACATAAAAAATACACTGTTTGCCTTTGCTGTGCATAATTTAATAAAATATTATTACATAGTTACAATTTTATTTCTGTGTCTACCATGCCTTATTTCTGTCAGGTAACAGATACTTAATCTATAGTCAATATTAATTAATTGAGTTAGATGCCTTTGTCTTTAAGGTATTGAGTTTTATCTAGTTTGTAAGTAGTATTTATATTGATATTCTTTATTTTTCTTTGTTATTAATATTAGTATTGTTAACCTTTCAGAATGGTCGATGTAGGGGGCCAAAGGTCAGAGAGAAGAAAATGGATACACTGCTTTGAAAATGTCACCTCGATCATGTTTCTAGTAGCGCTTAGCGAATATGATCAAGTTCTTGTGGAGTCAGACAATGAGGTAAGTACTCTTTGGATAGATGGTGATTGATCATTTTATTACTGAATAGAAATAAATGGTGAGATGTGGGGTGTGGGAAAAGAAGAGAAGTGAAGCCATTGCTTTCTTTACCACTATTTCAGGATATTTTTCAATTTATGTCTTTAGTTCTTATTATATTAATATATTTACTTGGTGTATGTACATACATACAACAGTGCACACATGGACATTGCAGAACAGCCTGTGGGAGAGGGTTGTAGGGGTGGAACTCAGGTCCTCAGGCTTGGCTACAAGCTTCTACCCACTGAGCTAGCTTACCAATGTGCATGATTTTAAATAATCATTAGTAACCCTTTCAAACTGACCCATAGTACTCTCAGAATGGCGGGCTTTTCCAAAGTCAGTCATTCAGGCAGGTCTGTGTGGATATAAGCAGAGCCTGTTTGATACTTTTACACTATGCAGAGGTTCTGAAAATGAAAATATGGAAATCTCTAGGCTCATCACAAGATTGTTTCATAGCTTCCCTTGCAGAATAGAACTGGGAGTTTTGTCTGAGTCACCCTGTTTTGTTTTACTTTCCTTTTGTTTAAAACAATGTTTGCATGATGGGTGGAATATGCAGAACATTCACTTGGCAGATGTGAATAACTTAGTAGCTGGCTTCAAAATCAGTTCATTGTGGAACCTTGTAGTGCCTTGGTGATTCGTCCTGTCTGCTGCTAGTTTAGCTGTTGTATAAGGTAGTCAGCTGACTAAGCAGAGAGTGATTTGGGAACTGTACTCCATACCTCTGTCTGGAGAGCTGGTTCTGTATCATGGTTCTTCTCTGCTTCAGGGAAAGTTAACAGTTATTTGAGTGTAATGGAGGTTTATGAATCAGAGTTGACTCTGGAAGATAATAAGAGGCATAGGAAACAACCTTTTAGCTAAAGTTCAGAGTATGTGCCCGTGAATGGCGGTGTGGTTAATAATCATGTCAGAGCTTGCAGGTAGATAGACTAATGACTATTAAGGAAAGGTGGAAACAAAGGGAAGGAACTGAGAAATGCCAGCAATTGGTTGATTAACATCTGCCATGTCAGAATTTACTGTCCACACACCTTTCTTTAAGCTATATAAGAATTCTTGCCTTCTTGGTCTTTTTAAGATAGCTTTTTTTTTTTTCTTGCTGTTCTTACTAGCCTCATTATATTAGACCCAGTATGCAGAGATTTGCATCAACCAATGAGCTGAGACCTATTAATCAGCCATTGGCCCCTGAGCTGAAATGCAAAGTGCCTACAAGCATAGTAAAATACATATCTATCAAAATGTGAGCTGGGCAGTTACCTTTGGAATTTTTACTGCTATATCTCTCTGTTTTTCTTTTTAAAATCTATACTTGTATCCTTGTGTTGTTTGGTAATTCTTGGGCAACTGTATTTTTACTATATTGTACGCTTTAGACATTGTAAAGAGCTGATTGTGTCTCTACTGTGGTGTGGGTGCCAGGATAGCAAAACAGACACAAAGCTGGAAAAATCGACTTCAAGAAGCTTAAAAAGTACACCTATAAGGCACATGGACCAAAGACAGTAAGACTTACTATGTAGATCTTCATTTCTTATATTCAGTTTGATACCCACAAAAATAAAGTTTACATGTGTCATCTACACAGAAGATGAAGAAACACATATAATTTCATTCTTATCCTTTCATACTAGCAAGGGTAAGATCAATGTCTACCAGTATAAATTTTATACTTGATAAATATGCTGTATCCACAAAGAACTGCATGTTGATTTTTTTTTAAATTTAAGCCATCATCATAGATACTTTGTAATTGTTTATTTTTTAGTCTTTATTTCTCATTATTACCTCAACAGAATAATGTTTTGACATACTGACTTTATGTCAAAAAAAGTGATTTATTCTATTGTTAACAAATTACTCATAGCAAATATTATACCAAAACCATTTTATTTTTCTATAAAACTAAAAGATCAGAGATGCGTAATTTTCTTAAATATAATACTATTGAGTAATGTAACACAACATGATTCTGTGCAAACCTTAAGATGTCCTTGTAAACACGAGTTTTAATTGAAAATCGATTTCTTACACAGTAATTTCTGATTATGATTATGTTTTCCCCTGCATATGTGTGTTTTGTGTGGACCTTTCTCTGCAGTTGTGCTCACTCTTGATAGTTCATCAGGAAGCTGTATCACGTCCAGGGTCCTTATCTCTTTCACCTAACTTTTGAGACAGATGGTCTTAGTCAATTTCTATTGCTGTGAAGGGAAACCATGCTCACAGAAACTCTTATAGAGGAAAACGTATGTGGAGCTGTCTTATTGCTATGCAGGCAGACATGGTCCTGGAGAGGGAGTTCATTGTGGATATATTGCCTGGCAGAGTGTCCCTGTGGTCTCCCTGTCTTACCAATCCATGGACTAAAACTCCTGCCACCATGCCTAGCTTCCTAAGTGGGTGCAAGGCATCTGAATTCAGGGATTCATGCTTGTACATTCTGATCAATCACTGCACACTGCATCCTTGTGTGAATTGCTCCAGCCTGTAGTGTGCATTGGCTTTTCCAGCATGTTGGTTGCTATTCAATTAAAAAAAAAAAAGATAATACTAGAAAATACGGAGTCCATGTGAGAGGTTACATCAAAAGTACACAAAACAGTTTACACTCACCAAAATATCTAAAATGGGAGTAGATGGAATGAGGGCAATGCAGGTGAGGATCATGTCTCTCATCTAGTATGGTGCCAACTTTATTACTGTTGCCAAAGACATGGACATGCAAAACACATACACACCACACCACACACACACACACACAAACACACACACACACATTCATAAAGACACAGGGACTGAATATCTCTACAAAATTCTACCCCGAGCTTCAAGGATATAGAACATGAGAAACAAAATGTTCATCAGTGCTTCAGAGACAAATCTAAGTCTCTGCAATATGATGCTTCTCATAACACCCCCAACTAGCAAGATACTCAAATACCTACCAGGCAAGCCACTGATGGTTCAATTCATAGCATGTTGTGATTTAATGGTAAGCAATTTGCCACATTAAAATTAGCAAAATATCAAAGAAGTCAGTTCTCTAAATACCTTGTCATCTAGGTCCAGCACAACAGTCAGGTTCTTTGTTTATGTGGTCATTATAGATTTCACCTGATCTTACAGTCGAAATCTATTGGTTGGTTGGTTGGTTGGTTGGTTGGTTGGTTGGTATAAAAGTATATTAATTCAGTAACATTTTTTATCAGACATCTTCAAATTTCTATCAGTAAATTGTCATTCAGTATGTAGGTAGATTTTTTTTTTTTTTGTACAAGCATGGCCCAGTTCCTTTGGTTCATAAGGTAATATACTGTGCCACAGATTAAAATGATAAAGCTGTGTCCCTGTTTGCTTTCTGTTGGTATGACAAACACCATGACCACCAGCACCTTGAGGAGGAAAGAGTTTATTTTATGTTACAGTTATAGTCAATCATGAAAGGAAGTCAGAGCAGGAACATGGAGGCAGGAACGTGGAGGCAAGAGTTGAAGCAAGAGACCATGGAGATATGCTGCTTACTGACTTGTTCTCCATGGCTTGCTCAGTGTGCTTGCTTATGTCACTGAGGACCACCTGTCCAGGGGTAGTGTCACCCAAAATGGGGCTGGGCCATTTCTACACATCAATCATTAATCAAGAAAATGCCAATCTAATCAAGACATTTTCTCAGTTGAAATTCCATTTTCTCAGAGGACCAGAGCTTGTGTAACATGTACACATTGTCAATTTCTCCATTAGATCTCTTAATTCTGTGAGGTAAGTCATACCCACTTTGGAGCTTTATCTTGGGCCTCCATCAAGCCTGATGGTAGCACTGGAGCTGATCCTTAAAGCATAACAGGAAAGTACTACCCATAGCCAGCACCCTGAGTAGGGCACACTCTCAGAAGCACATGTTTGTATTGAGTGATCTGTTTTATTTTCAGTTGTTGTAAAACATGCAAATGTCATTACCTCTAACCTTTTAAACCACTAAATTAATTCTAAATTAATACTAAAGTACTTCAGAACTACAGAATTCTGGTTTCTGAAACTTCCTGGTTTGGGTGGTACAAAACAAGAATAAATTCCTGACAATTTGTTCTTGGTCTGAAAGTGTACTGCTCACGTCAAAGCAGACTTGACTGCACCTACCTTGGTATATATCCTTGAGAGAAACCTGGGAGTGAATGCTGATAGCCTTTCTATCCTGCAGAACTGGAGAATACATTGTAGACCACAAACAACATAGCTGATTTGTTTGATAAAGTACATGAAGACATCAGTTCAGTCTCCAGAACCCACATAAAGCTGGGCATGGTGGCACATGCTTTGTAATCCCAACTCTGAAATGATGATACAGGCAGATCACTGGGGCTTTCTAGCCAGCTAGGCCAAGACTGTTTGGCAAGCTCCAGGCCTGTGAGAGAACCTAGCTCCCCCCTACCCACTCCCCTCCAAAAGGTAGATGGGAAATGCACAAGTACATATAGATACCGGAGTACCCGGGGAGTTGTTCCAGATTATTTCCTTTTACTTGTATTTTAGTTATTTGTAAATGTTATGTATTAATCTCTGCAATTTTGCACAGATCTACTTTTGTCTGTGTAGAGTCTCAGCCTTCCTATTGTTTGGGGAATGAATGTCTTTCTCCTTTGTCTCCAAATAAGGAAATAAGCATGAACCAGTGGGCTAGACAAACCAAGGTTATAGTGCTGCACTGCTTTCTGACTTCTCTTCCTCTCGTATTTTCCTGTGTTAACATACCAGCATGGAGCCAACTATTCTGCTGTAATCCTTTCATGGACACATTATTTCAGAGCCTGTGAAAGCCCAGAACAAGAAGATAGCCAGCACATATCGCTGTGTGTTCAAACTAAGCTTTCAGTCTTTAACTGTGTTTAAACTAGCTTTCTGGTCTGTGACTGAACATGGCCCCTTCTCCATGATTCTTGTTAATG